TCTGAAATTTCATCCTTTTCAACCCCCCCCCCCCCCCCACCACAGTTTGTCTCCGAAACACTCTCTGCTCTCCTCCAGCTCTCCTCACACACCGTCTTTGTGTGCAAAAAAAGCCTCAACACATGAATACACACTTTGCACGAGGATTTCAACACGGATAGGTAAACCTACCGCACGGTGTTCAGACTGGCTTTGCATGCAGTGATTCAACAGATTTCTGGTGACAAAGGGCCCAAGTGTGAGCTGTCTGGCTCAGACACGTTATAATAACATAGCGCTGATACAACGAGACGACCATCAGGAAACAGTCTTTTTATATTTGATAAAAAGCTCTGAAAACACATTTTCTCAGTCGGCTTCTTGATCCAAAACAGACGAATAAATTGTGCCAAAGTCAGAGCAGGACTGAGATTTGGGCTTTCTGTTTGCTGCATTGCTTCTCTCACTGCTTTCAAGAGGGCGGACTCAGTTGGGGGGAAAAAAGGCGATGTCACAAATATTGTGTCGACCAATCAGAGTTCAGCAGTATTTGAATCAAAATGTGATGAAAGTTGTGGGGTTGTTTGCTTATGTTGTGATCAAACCACACCCACACAGCCCATATGGAGGAGATTATTAGTGTTTAACTCTTCATAAACAACAACTTAAGAGCTTCAGCTTTAACTGTTGCTTATTTAGTAATGAGTATGATATTATTATGAAATATTAGTCGTGCGAGTGGTTCTATTTTCTCTAACGATTTGCTTGCTTCCTTCTGTGATTATATTTTAGAGACAAAGTCACAGCCCTCCTTTGCCTTCATGAATGAGTCGAAACTTGCATCATCTCTTCCTCTGCGCGCTATCACAGGAGCATGGTCACCATCATCCGTGAGCTTCATTTATTGAGTGGGTTACCAACACTGTGAATGACTTATGTTTGCCCACACAAGCATGTAGGCACATCCACAAACAAACCCTCACACACACACACACACACACAGAGAGAGAGGGAGAGAGAGAGAGGCTGGCTTCAGATTGCTGAGTCATCGTTGCAGCCGCACCAGTACTGCCATTTCTCCTCATCTGCTCGACTGGAGTTGATGCGTCACACTGGGAGCCATTTCTTTCTAAAACGTGGCCCTAATCTGCAGCGAGTTTTTCCACAGCCGCGCACCACATGAAAGGCGTGAGGCCGCTTTCATTTAGCATCCCTTAACCCCAATAAGCGGAGTCAAAAAGTCAAAAAGTCGACACAAAAGAAAAAGAAAAAATACAAAGCTCCCCCACACACTATAAAAAAAATGTCTTGGTTGGTTTTACTTGAAACTGAAATGTGCCCCAATTTGAACTGTGTTCAAAATCAGACTGGAATGTTTTCCACTAAACTCACATTATTAGCAGGCCTCCCTGTTACGTTTAGATCACAAGAGGTCAAGACAAAACATCACTTTTATTTTTATCTCTGGATTTGCACCTCACGATTCCCAACATTTCCAAGATGCTGTAACTGGAATTCACGTGTCAAAATGTACTGAAACAAAAGCTAGCTGGAAGCCGCTAATGTCTCGTTAAATGACAACTTATAAAAGCCAAACAATCTCCACGTTCACTCGAGGCTACCGCACTAATCAAACTAACGTCACTACTTCTCTCAATTGTCAACGGTTATTTGGAACAAAGCAATACGCAAAGTATTACAGAGTAATGTTTGATGTTGCCACCGCGACCCGACCCCGGATAAGCGGAGGAAAATGGATGGATGGATGGATGTTTGATGTAGCTGACAGAAAATCTTTTCCAAAAACATTTATACCCTGTAAAAAAAAAAAAAAGAAGAAAATCGGAGCTGCAGCATCAATTTCTTCCGCGGAACCGCTCAGGGAATAAAACACTGCCAACAACCTTCAAATCTCGTTCACAAATTTAAGCCTCGGTCATTCATCATTTCTGAAGTCCGTGCCCTTTACGGAGAAATAGAAACTTGTCCAGCTGCAATTCAAGCTCGACTCATGTTCAGTGGAGAACAGCCCAACAACATAAGGTCACACAAGAACTAAAAGGCGGCTTTGTCCCATCAGCAAAAAAAAGAAAAACCTGTTGCCTTTAGTTTGACCCACACGGCTGGGTTAAATCCACCTATTTGAAGCCAGCTCTTTTGTCCAGAGAGGAGGGAGTGAGGCATGTTGGACGGCTGGCTGGTTGCTCAAAAAGTCCCAAATTCATTCAAACTGGAGGACTCCAGTCAAAACGGGGCAGTGGCCTTTGATAAAGCTAAGACAGAGACTAATGAAACAGATGGTACACTACCAGCCAGGTGTCGAGCCCGTCAGAGTGATGGAGATGTGAAGCTATATCAGCTTGTCTGGTAGAACAGAAGCAGAAGAAAGGCAAAGTGAAAGTTGAGACCACCTTTTATCTGCAGAGCTGTGGCCCATGGCCTTTGCTGACGGGCTAATGCATCACATTACTTTTAGTAATATGTGAAATAAAAATGCCTTCTAGTTAGGCTGGGCTGGCTGAAATCAATGTAACAGTATTAGTTGGTTTTATATTAAATATTAAGGCTGTAACTGCTGACTTTTACTATTAATCTGTAATTGTTTAATTATTTGATTAATGAATCAATAAACAGTAAAACAAATTCCCAATCACAGGTTCATGTAGCCCATGGTGACATCTTTAAATGAATATATATAACATCAATCAACATGCCCATCACTGACTGTTGGAGCCATTTCACAGCTGGCCAATGAGGGGTGCTGTGGGCGGGACATAGCAGTCTGATGAAGGGTAGACTCATTTGTTACAGGTGTGTAGCACGGCGAGGTCCATGAGTGGGTGGCGTACTTTTGTTAAAGCTTATCAATAGATATGTATATGTGACTTGAACGTTTTGGCTTTTATAAAAAATGTTGGTGACAACAAAGGACAAAGAGGCAACGGAAGCATCATGTGATCTACACCGGAGCCACTGAGCAAAACAAACAAGCATCAACACTGAAGATTAAGAAAACCTAAATATATCCACATGTAAGAAGCTGGAACCAGTAGATTTGTTTTAGTGCATCAGTGCATATAAATGTGAAGATAATTGATTGATAGTAACATTAAAATGTCTGTGCTTGCAGACGTTCGGATGGGGAGAGCAGTGATGGCGGTGCACAGAGTGGACGTAGAACCGTGTCTGAACCGGTTTCAATGTATTAACACAAGACTGGTGATTACTATCAACAAACAGACTTGTTTGTCTTTGACCAGGCTAGAGAATTTGACGGGGCCTCTTGCATTCACTCACTAGCTTACATCTAAAATCACAGCTGGAAGGGGGCTGGGGGGGGGGGCAAACATCTGTGTTAAACAAGGCCCTCTTATTGAGTGAAGCACAGGCCACAGTCTGACCAACACTCTGTGAATGTTTTATCCCTGATGGAAGTTAGTGGTCATCATGTTTGAATAACAATAAAGTTTTACACCCTTCCGTTTCTTGCTCCGTTTTTATTTTCTATGTCACCGTCAGACAACAATCTTGGCTTCCTGAAGCCAGATAGCATCTAGTACAACGGGGGAGTCGCTGTGATTATTTGTGTGCTTTGACGGAGCGAGAGAAGTCCGTCCCAGCTGGGTTCGTCTCCGTTTATGTCACCGTGACAACCTGCCTTTTTTTATCTGGGAGGGTCAAACCGAAGTCACAGTCATCGGTAGAGGCTGTATGATTACAAGCAGATGACAAGAGGAGCGCTCACTTCTGAGGGAACGAGTGTGTAAAAGTGCGTGGGCTGAGCTGTTGACTCTGGTGAGCGTTTAAAAAAAAAATGATTTACCTTTGCTGAACGTTTGACCTACTTCTCCCCCCCCTGTGTGTGATGTTGAGATGGTGGAATAAGCATGACCAGATGGCCAGACAAGAAGCGTGCATGTGTGTGTGTGTGTGTGTGTGTGTGTCAGTGCTGCATTCCAGCCGGTGTTGCACAAACTGCGCGACCTATTCGGTGTAGACGAGTCGTGCGAGGAGCCCGCATACACACATGCAGCTCCTTTCAAAGCCGTCTTGCCTACAACAACAGTCCATCTTGCTCGTGTTACATGCCCGGGCAGGCGGCCGGTCCAAGTCCACCGGCTTACTGTACTTCAGTTTCACACGTGCACTTCATCTTTTCTGCAGTGCAGTCACTTGGGTTCAGTTGAGTCAGTCAGCAAGTCCGTCGCAGTTCAAAAGCTCCTTCCCTCGAGAGTCTCCGGCCACCTGAGCTCGGCTGCAACTTAAAAACATCTGACCCGAGCGGGGACAGTCCCACCCGGCATGGCACAGCAGGGGGCGGGGGGGCAACAAAACCGTGACATCAAATAAGTGGAGGGGCTGCTGAGGCGGGGCTATGCGACGAGTGTGAGCAGTCAGGGGAGAAAAAGGGAGGGGGGGAGGAGTGCATCGGGGTCAGGAGGTGGAGGGGGAAGGGAGGGGCTGGCTCTGCATTTCACATTTCTAGGCAAATTCCTAGATTTCAAAGTTTACCTGGAACCACCAGAGGATGAAATGTGTTCTTCTTTCAGATGTTACTGACAATCCTGTACAACCAACGTGTGCCACTGCAGGGCTGCAACAATATGTTGTCTGTATCAGCAATTCACCAGATGCTTTGTTTGGATTTTTCAATTATTCATTCAACCAATGTCAGAAAATAGAGAGCTTGTTTTGTCCAAACGACAAAACAAAAGTCAAAGATATTCAGTAAATAATGATACAAAATTGAGAAAAGCACAAAATGCTCATAATTGAAAACCAATTGTGTGGTAGTTTTTCTTGATAACTGCATCAAACAATGGATTGCCAAGATTGTTCTCAATCAATCCTCCACTGATCTCCTACAAATTAGCCAGAACTTCATGGATCAGTTCCTTCTCTGTCTCACAGCGGGCCGATCGGTGAAATAATTCCTCTGTAGTTGATGGTAAGTAGCAGGAAAACAGAAAGTGGGCTGTGTGTATTTGTGTGCGTGCGTGTGCGTGTTTGCTCGTCCTTACCTCTTGAAAGCCTCCGTGGGGTTCCTCTCACACTCTCCGGGCTGTAAAGTGCTCTGCACAGCCGGGTCGCGCACCTTCTCCTCGTATCCCGGCACCAGCCCGCTGCGGCAGATCTGAGCCACCAGACCTCGGATGAACCCGCCGACGCACAGCGTGTCCGAGTCGTCTGCCCGGCAGAAGTGGAACGCCAGGCCCTGCTGCTGCAGGCCCCGGTGCGTTCCCTGGGCTGACGCGGGCCACAGCAGCTCCGTGCACAGTGCGGTTTTCCCGCTTCCCGGCCCCCCCACCAGCAACACTCCCCAGGAGCTACCCGACTTGGTGGATCCCGCTGTCAGGGTGCCGGGGTTGGACGCACCCCCGCCGGGCGTCAGCGGCGGCTGCTTACTGGGAGTGCTGGTCACTCCGCTGAGGCTGTTGGTTTTCTCCTGGAGGCAATGCTGGATCTTGTGGAAGACCCACTCCCGGCAGTAAAAGCGCTTCCCCTGCAGCAAACTGGTTTGGGCCATTTTGATCTGGTGCTGCTGTTCCACCTATTCCTCCTCTTCATAGGGGTCCCTGCGCTCCGACCCTCACATTTTCAACTCCAACAAAGGTCGGCGGTAAATTCGAACATCCATGTTGACGGCTGAAAAAAAATGTGCCTCTCAGAAAGCAGGTTGCAGTCTAGCGGTCCGTGGCGTTGACGTTAAGGAGACGCAGGAGTGAAGGAGGAAGCAGAGCCGCTGCAGATGGCAGGGAAAGCAGCCGAGCTATGACGCGACACAGAAAAATCTGGGTCAAAATAAAAAATGGAAATCAAAACTGAGGCTCAAACCATAGATTTTCCACCAACTTTTTCCACAGCTTTCCCACTGGTTGAACTGAGTGCTCCTTGTTATTATGAGTGTGTTGCTTTAGCATGGCGCTGGGCATGGCAGGGCACCCGGTTCTTGAGTGCATCCACTGGCGAACTCAAGCCACCGCCGCTTGATACAATTAGCCATGGGAGTTGCTGATATATTTCCGCTCAGGCATTTCAGATGCGACCGGGGGTGACCAAAGCGTGTTTCCATTACATTAACACGGAGGGGACTTGCCAGCGTAGAGTCAATTTCTACAATAACATACTAAGACTGGCTCTTTTCCTGGAAAACAAGAGACAGAAATAAAGGCTAAATTAGGACACATTTCAAACAGAAAGTAAAGCTTCACGCACAATTACCCATCCTGCCCAAGGAGATTGTTTAGATATGATTTACAGTCTAGGAGGCAAATGTGCACATTTATCAGCTTTAAAAGCATATCCCATACAAGCGGCAACAGTTTGCACAATATTGTTATGGATATTTTCCAAACCCACAAAGAAGGGTAAACTTCCTGCAGCTACAGAAAGGTAGGTACTGTCAGTTTTTTTCCTTTTTTCTCCTCTGTGCTTTCATCTTCCTCAACCCACACCAGCTGCCTGCCCTGCAACTAAATTCTTGGCAGGGGTTCGTCCAGTTTCTCTAGTCTATCCACTGATCCCCCCCCCCCTCCCTCCTCCTCCTCCTCCTTCCTTCCTATGTGGCTTTAAATCCCAACACAGTCCACATCCGTCCTGAACTGCAAGGGGTGGTGGTGAGGGACCCCCTCTCCTGCATTTACAGGGGTCGTTTGCATGGAAGGTAACCCCACCTCAGGCTCTAACAGCAACTAGAAAGCTCAGCTGAATCCAGAGTGAGAGTCTTGGATTGGGAACTGCGTTAAGTGCCACGATGATGGATCTCTTTTTAAAAAAAAAAAAAAAAAAAAAAAAAAAAAAAAGGAGATGAAATTGAAGCATCTCGTGATTTGATTTCTGATGATTTTTTCATTTTTTGGGCTAACTGCAGTTTAAGCGCCTTCATCACAGTCTACTACTGCTTCTCTACACTGGAGCTAATGCAAAATATTACCCAGCGTCTACAGCCAAGAAAACGCGCACGCACACACACACACACACACACACACACACACACACACGCTGGTTACTTTGTAACGCTGCCAAATAACAACACGGGCTGCGATATATGTCCACCTTTCTGCGTGTTAGTATTTCCTGAGGCGCTCCCTGCCTCCCAACACAAAGCTCACCACATTAATATGACACACATCAAAAAGGGTCAGTGGTGTTTTGAGGCGAAAAGGCGACACACACACACACACACACACACACACACACACACAAAAAAAAAAAAATCAATGAGAGCAAACGACATGAATTCACTCCGGTGGATAGAAAATCAGCACAAGTCTTTTGTATGGCCGCACAAACCTCACCCATTTCAGATGGGATACAGTTTAAACCTATGGGGGCTTTAAAAAAAAAAACAGTCCAGACTAGCTAACAGTTGCGTGCTTTTAAGAGAAACCCCATCAAAAAATGAACGACTACGGCCTGCCGTGTCCAAAACTGTTCCTTAAACTTCAATGTAGCCAATTGTGGAGCGTTTCACTGTTTTCGCTACAGTTTCAGATATCTCTCTCAGCCCCCCAAACGGTTTTCCTCTCACCTCTTGCCGATTCCTCCTGGTGTTTGGGGGGGGGGGGGGGGGGGGGGGC